GACGTGGTTCACAAAACAAACTCTAGGTATGTATCCCCTCGGGGAACACCTGTCGTGATTAGAATTTCATATGCACTCTTTCTGAAACTTCAAGAGGGTTTCAACTATCCTGAAATCATGAGAGGCTCACGAAGACGTGCTCCAGGAGAGAATTGAATTAAGAGGCCCCAGGAGAGAATAAAATAAACTCTAGGTATGTATTCCCCTCGGAGAACACCTTGCGATCCTTTCGGGGAACACTGAGACGCTTACGAAGACGGTCTCCAGGAGAGAATGGTATTTTAACAAGAACACATTTCGTAATTAGAATTTCATATGCACTCTTTCTGAATGTTCACGAGGGTTTCAACTATCCTGAAATCATGAGAGGCTCACGAAGACGTTCTCCAGCGGAGAATTGAATTTAGAGGGGGGGGGTCTGTATTGAAAAATCAATTCCAAGGGGGGGGGGGGTTGAATTGAATGATCAATTATTAGACCCGGACTCGCCGACACTTGCTTCGCAAGTCAAACTCAAGGTATCCCCTAAAGGGCTACCTTTCGTGAACTGATCCAGCTGGGACATGGACACAAGCTTTCACAAACTTTGACCGGTGCTTTGGTAGCACCAATAGTTCAAGACTTCATGTGGATCTTTGTGGATTTGAGCCTGAAGACATACAAAGAGCGAACACGAGACATAGCCACGAAACCTGCCAAGAACTGCATATCCAATGCAGCAGAAATGCAAGATCAATCAATGCGCGCTCAAAAACCTGCATCAATTTTGCCAACCAAAACCGGAAATTTAGAGCATAACTGCTGGCCACTTGGGAAGACAGCCATGCCGGCAGGGTCCAGACCTTCTTTTGTAGGTTAGCATATGGTCATCACCGAGCACTCCCTCTCAACCCACATTCACCACCGTCGATGTGCAATTCTCACCTGCTTCATCTTGGTGTTTTTGCCGATCGCTCGGATTTGCTGCAGCGCTGCCCATTCAGCCTGGACCAAAGGCGCTTGCGCCACCTGACGTGCCGTGTGTCCAGGCGTGTTCCAGTGGAAGGGAAGCGAAAAGTCAAAAAGGGTGACTTTGTGGCAAAGACAAGCATGTGTATGTATTTTACTCGGAGGGGGGTTTGAATCTTGTCTATACAAGGTCTTTTCGACTACTCCTCTAAGAAGCCTTTGGGGTGCTCTTTGGAGTTGCTTCTGAGAGTCCAGGGCTATGAATCTGACGTTGGAGTCACAGCTGGTACAAAGCAACGATCTTTGAGCGGGTACTATCGCACTTTTATGTTTGTTGAGAACTCGTGATTTTATCTCCGAGGTTTATAGAAGCGCCATGAGCTCTAAACGGAATTTGGGGAAGAGAATGTACCCCAGGCAAAAGTGCTTGGGATTAATTCCTCGCAAGTGGTCTGTTAGATTCTCTTGGTGTCAGTTATCTTTACCGGTCTTTGCAGTTCCCCAACGGGTGAGCACTTGGTGAGCACTACCTTTTGATTGATTCAATGGATTGGCTTATTGAAACATCTACAAGAGGTAAACTAGGGGGTTCATCCCCGAAACGATGGGTCCCGTAAATGCTCCCAATTACACATCAATACAGGCATGGAATGACCGATAGAGACCGCCTGGAAGGCTGGGTTGGCCCATGAGCAACCTCTGAACTCATCGCTATTCCAATCCCTGATCTATAAAGATGAATGTAATGTAGGTACATATTATCCCATGCAGTCCGATGGATTGTAAGGGATGCACAACAACCAGGCTCCTCACCTTGTTGAGAGGCACCAAAACGCCCTTTTGGCTCCGCAGGACGTCAACCACCGCTCGGCAGAAGCCATTGAACCTGAAGAAGTCGTGGTTGAGAGAGACCTTCTCGGCAAAAGGGAAATCAACGGGAAATCTGTTTAGAAAAACAGAGACCAAGAGGACGACCAACATTAAATATATTGAAATTCTATCAGGATCTATGAGCCAGCACCTTCAAAGGGGTCACCAATGGAAGCCCCTACACTACTAAGGGATCTCCAGACAGGACACCCCTTTTGCAGGATCTATGAGGGTATCCCTTGTCACCTTGTCTTCCTTTGATGGGTACAGGCCTCAGAGCGCCTCAGAGCGCCTCACCGCAGGGGGTGAAACGCAAAATCCAGGTGTTAGATGGGCCAAGGGCTTCGTGTTAGAAAGGCCATTGTCGGTGTAGCTTGGTGCCATGCATTCGAAGGGATAAAAAAAAGGCGCATCGCTTTTGACGCTGTCACTCTGGGATGACACTGTAATATATATATATATATTATGTGTACCTTAAAACTGCATCCGAGATCATCCTCTTAAAACATCTTAAAACAGCCACGACTGAAGCCCCGTTTTCCACGAAGACATAACACATACCGTTACATGCCCCAGCTTTGACAAAAACAACGCTGTGCTTTGATCTCCCCGATCCGCCGATCTGGGGAGATTCTCTACTGGGACCTCGAAATGGACCACCCGAAACAAACTTCCCTAGGGCTCCAACCATATCCCCAGAACGTGGTTGGGGTGGGATTGGGGGGTCTAACCACATCCTGAGGAGATGGTTGGAGCCGTAGGGCTTAGCAATTGATGGATCAATCTCGAACAATTCTGCAGAATGAAACGAGTGACACATCACCTCCACTCTGTGCGGTACGTAGCACACTCTCTGCTGTGCTGGTCTCCTCCGGCTCCTACGACTGCGACGGAGACAAGAACATGCACGGTGGATGGGCTGAAGCGACTTGCAGCTTTGAATTGATGGTTAAATACACAAAAACTGACGAGCGAGACCCGTAACGAAATGAATCTCTTTGAGGCAAACCTTTGCCTTATTCACCTGGTGCGGACGGAACACCTATACCAAACTCTGGTCGTGTTGGATTTGATCGACTCTCAAACACCTAAATCTGAAACCGGCTGATGTGACAGTCAGTGGCTTGATCTGATGGCCGCCGTCTTGTGTTGGTAGTCGCTTGATGTCGCTTGTGTGGTTTCTGGGTCCTTTGACGTTGTGTTTGAACCCTCATGTCCGGTTTCCACGGCATTTTCCAGCTCCCCCACGATCCCCCCCAAACGATCCCCAAGCAGCAGACGACTCTAACGCCGTGTGGCATGGCAGGCTGATGAGTCCCAGCAGTCTGACAATCCCTTCTTGACGATTAGTCCTGAACCTGGAGGTGGACCACGCACACTTTTGCACTTGAACATACTTCGTCTCATGTACTTCCAAGGAAAAAGAGGCTCCCGCATTCCGAAGACCCAGAACGCGGCCTTCAACGAGGCCGTTTCCCCTTCCAAACAACGGGTGCACCGGTTCCGAGTTCGGTTCGGAATGGTTAGGTCGTCGGTGCCCCCACTCTCAAGTCACTCCAAACCAACAGAGGTCAAGTGACCTGAACTAGGACCCTACAGAAGCACCTTGCTTAGGATAGTAGCCTAGTTCGGGTTCTGAAAAACCTCTGCTGGAAAGTGAACAAAATGAACAACCAACTCCATGTGACGGTCTATCATCTCCCATCGGTCCCATCGGAGAATCGGTCGGACCGAACCACCTCTGCGGTCCGACATTCGGCGGACCTTCGCCGGACATGTCACGCTCCAAGTCCGGAGACTGAGAAGATGGGATACCAGGTCATCTGAATACCAAACATGTCATGTCACAAAAGACTAGGTCATTAGAATCTGTATACCAGGTGGATCTGTATAATTAAGGTGGATCTGTATACCATGGGTATATCATTAGGTGGATCTGTAGACCCCCTTTTTTGTTCCAGGTACTTCCACCGGTCGACTCCAGCTACTCCAACCATGCCAGCTACGAGTTCAACATCGGTCCCCTCAGCGTCGCCCTGTCCCCCCCTGCGCTCCGCCTGAAACTCCGGGAGCACCGGGCCAGGGCGCTTTGGCGCGCCATGGCGGCGCGCCATGGTGGACGGCCCATGGAGGCGAGCTTTTGGATGATCGGGGTGGGGCGCCACTCTGGGTGGTCATTTGGAGCTAGACTGTGTGCATCCTTGCTCCTGGTAGCGATGGCCTCCAAGCTAAGCTACTTGCGATGGCCTCCACCTAATAGCGTCCTTGCTCCTTCTGAGAGGAGTGAAAAACGGAGATGTTGCAAAATTGGCGAGTTCTGGCAGGGTAAGCGGTAAGCATGGACAATTCTAGGCTATTTGTGGATCTTCGTTGGACAATTCTTGGAAGGTTCAGGCGGGTAATAACCGGTTAGCAATCAAAATCAGAAATCAATTTCTAGATCCAACATTGACATGGGCAATCACTTCTTCAATCTGTATATGGCATCTGGACAATTAAATGCGGCTTCTTGGCTACTCAAGACGTTTGAGAGGGAGGTCTTGCTATCCAGTCCTCAGCATCTGGTGTTTCGGGCCTTCGTCACGTGTTCACAAGAGAATCACGTACACATGTAATGAATTACAATACCCAGACACTCCATGTATGCTATAGTTGCCTACATTGGGGTGGTTTGGGGATCAATGTAGGCATATGGCATACATGGAGTGTTTGGGATAATTAGAAATGCACAGCTCGACAAATAAACATGTTTCGGCCCTGCAAACTCCCAGTGACCCTGTGATCGGGTTATGGGGTCTGAGTGGCCCCAAACCTTGACCCTAGAAATCCAAACATGATTTTTAACCGAGTAAAATAATGGAAGTTGTTTTATGTGTCAAGTCCCTTAGTCAAAACAATTGTTTAAACAATTGTGATTCCAGAGGTTGAGGTAAATACCAAAAACCCACTATATATATATACCAACTTAGCGGGAACTTGTGCGGTGTTGAAGGTCATGGTGCCCTCTTCAAAAAGAAACCACATATTGCAAAGCAACAACAACTAGTGATAGAAAGTATCATGTCAGCAAGATCATCTGCAAAGTCTAGGCTGCTGCAGCAATCATTACCCTTTCATGTTGTTCATGTTGAAAAACATGATAACCTCTATACCTGAAGTCATGAGAAAACTTGGCCACAACAATGATTCCACATACACTGTGCAAAGGTTGCAAAGTTCTGGCTGGAGTGCAATGGTTTCACATGTTCTCCTCATCAGTGCTCATCGTGGAAACTTCGCGGGTTTGCCACCAGCAGTCGTCTGTTGATCGACTACATCTCTGAGACCGGCAGGCGTGAACAGTCGCGACGGTAAACCTTACCCAGACACTCCATGTATGCCATATATATATATACATTGGGGTGGTTTGAGGGGTCAATGTAGGTATAAATGGCAGTCCCATCTATTATCTGGGTTAAGTCTTCCATCAAATGACCTGAGTGGATGGAATCCTTCATGACTCCCAACCTCTTCAAGGGAACAGGATCCCAACCCTTGGATCCTCCATGATCCGCACTTCCGAGAAGCCATGAGAAGCACTTCCTGCGCCCAAACCGTGATGAAGACCACCTTGAAGCAGCCAAAGCACCGATCCGTCGAGTGCTCACAACCCATGCGGCCCATGCAGTCGACCAATTCCGAGGGCATCCAGTTGACCAAGGCGCAACGTGGACCGATTTCCTAAACCTGGGGCTCCTGGCCCATCTCCTCAGGAGGTGGTTAGACCCCCCCCAATCACCAACTCCAACCACCTTCTGGGGATATGGTTGGAGCTTGAACAATCACCCAAAAAGGTTAGAAAGGCAGCCCACTGGCTGGGTTGGAGAAACTCTATTTACGATTGACATTCCTGGATCTTATGCAACATGTCGACAGTTCTTCAATTGAAACCAGCCGTAGCAATCCTTGTGGAAAACAGTTTAGTGACCGTGACCGTGTGGCTGTAGGGACCGGGAGCGGTGTCATCGGAGCTCACGAACGGTTCCAGGAACCCCACGGAAGCCTGCAGCCATTTGCTGAAGTTATGGCGGTGATACCTCTGATTGTTGGCCAGAAGCTCAAACAATTGTTAATTGTTATGTGTTTTTTGTTAAAAGGTAATTTCAACTTGAAATATGTGTTTGAAACCCGCATGTTGCCTGGGTAATGTCATGCGCATATGACGGAAGCGAGCTGCAATGAACGGCCCTATATATATATATATTAAATCAAGAGCAATCAACATATGAAAAGTTCTCTACACAACATGCTTGAGCTTTCAGGTCAAAGGTGTACATCAACGAGTGCGACGAAGAAAAATAAGAAGGAAACTCGGACTCGGATGATGTTGGTGCGCCGGCGCTTGGACGAATGCTTGCAAAGCTTGAAGTGACCGCTGTAGGCTTCTGATGTTGCCCCGGAAGCCTATGAACAGATGCTGGAAGATAAAGCCCTCTTGACAACACCGATCGAAATTGGGAATCAGGATACGGTGAGCGGCTATATTATCCAGAAGGTTCACCTTGACCTACGCTACACTAGGTTGGGTTCATGATCCGAACAAGAGCCTGATTGACTTGAAGGAGGTTCCTGCTGGCCCTGGTGTTTGTAGCAGTATCTCCAAGCAGGCAAGTCTGATAACTGTACTGGCTTGGAGATACTGAGAGTCTGAGTATCTCGGCCCGATTTGATCGAGTCGAGTCTGAGTCGCTCGCACGCCGCGTGGTGCTTCTTCGTTTCGGAGGCCCGGGCCAATGCCAACATGAAAAGGCTGAAACAGGCCAAGCGCCTGAGACTGAGTTCAACGCAGGGATCAACGGAGCCGGTTGGTGGTTCGGTTGGTGTCCAGTTTTCCTCGTCACTCCGAACTTCTCAAGCTTCCCCGCAGGTTGTTTGATGATGAACTACATGGCATCATATAAGTGGCAAGAAGAAGCAATCGACTAAGCTGCTCTTTTAGATCAAAAGAACTTTTGGCGTCTGATGACAAGCACTGCATATACGTATGTATATAAGTGTGTCGCGCAACTGCCGGATTCAGGCATGAGCGTGCGCATGAGGGATGAGGTGTATGAACACTCCAGAGCTCTCC